TATTTGATGAAAGAATCAAGTTATCCTCTTAATTATCCTAAATGAGCACCAGTGCACCTTCTCTAATTCCAGCGTAGGTACCAGTGGTACCTGGTGGTGTGAAATCAGTATCAGGTCTCATTGATATGAGTATGCAGAGCATCAGATCATCAATGTCCAAAGTCAGTAGATTTGCTCTTATTTTCGTTAACCAAGGATGCTGTTGCCAGGTCTTGCCATTTGGCAAAAAATTGCTTTCTGTCAGGTTTCTTGTATTCAATAGAAATATTCATATATATAAAATGAATCAGCAGTGTGGTTCAAGGATCTTATAGCTATAGATCCATATAGCTAATTAACTTTAATTAATCCTCTAAAACCACTCATTATAGTGAGTGATAACAATCCTTTTTTTGTGTTCTTTCTTATGCAATATTTTGTTTTTTGAGAGATTTCTCTACAGTGAAGAGAGCTAACAGCAGGTAATGCCATTCATCTCGGAAGGAGTTTAAAATTTTCAGTGTTAGTGATGAATGAGGGTATCTGACCCACATCTGTTTTACATTAGAATGGAACATTGCCCTGACATCGTTAGGAGCATTTGTCAAGATTCCCTGGACAGAGCTTCTGTAAATTACATGCTGCAAATGTGTCAGGGTCAGATAAGAGGATATCATTAACGGTGCTAAAGTTTACTCATGGTTCTGTCAGTTCAACTTAATATGTTAACTGCCAACCGTTTTCCTTGAGCTGTTTCATTAAATCTTTCATTCACAGGAGGGGAAAAATAGTATCACTGTACCCAAAAAAATATTGCACATGTTCTTTTCTCATAAATCATATTAATTGCAGGCATGGTCACAAAGCACATTAAACACAAGCATGCGTAAATGAATTAAAACATATGAGAATTTTATTGTGCCTATGGAGGGTCCTACATTCTCAAATACTAACCATGTTAACAGCCAGAATGTTTCATTTCAATAAAATAAGCTTTTTAAAAATGTAGTTTAATGGCCTTTATTTTGGTGATAATAGAATTATTTTCCAGCAGCTGATAATGGACCAGACATTGTGTTCATGCCTTTAAGGCTTTCATCCCTCGATTTCTCTTTCTTGATGGTACCCTCAGCTGGTGATTCTGTGCTGACTCCACCAGCAAGGGATTTGTCCTAATGAATATTTTGGGTTGCTTCAGATGTGTTCTCTAAAAACTTTCCTGCAGACTTTGGTTGGAGCAATCCACTGTGTTCCTTTTACTTATTCCTAATTTCACGTTTGTTTTCTAATAGAGTGATTTAATCAATTGTATACTGTATTTTATTGTATAAGCACAAAGACTGTGCCTTAACATTCCTATGTGTGTTTTGTAAAAGGTGAGAGCAAAATATATGTAGTTAAAAAACTTCAATCTGATTTTTGTTTTGTGTTTATGGGAGTTTTCTCTAAAAGAAATAGAATAGCTATTGTATCACTTTAATGCAGTGTTAGCTCTGCCCTTGGATTCTGGGTCAGTGAGGCTGATACTTACTAATTTAGCTTTCCCAAAGTGATTTAGAAGGAAGCACATATTTTCCAGTAATTTGGATGGTATAGAGATTGAATAACTTTATTTTCTACCTTAACTATTATAAAGCAATCATATCCGTTTACTTAGAACTATTCTGCTTCATACCCACAGAAGATCTGAGCTGCAAAATCCAGATCCTTGTGTGTCTCCTGTGCAGCTAAGCTGAGGATGCTGAGCAACTTGCAGACATGGCCTGTTAATGGATTTCTAATTGATTAGGTGAAAGTTAGCCATGCCCTTCCTGTAACTCCTTGTATGGGTGAGAAGGTCATGGCACATACCGTAGCAAAGGCTCCTGCCCTGGGGCTATTTCCCTTGGAGCTTTCAAAACAGACATGACCAAAAATCGAATTATTTAGATACTAATCAACTGCAGGATGATTCTGAAGGCCTCTGAGGAAGATATTTCTGGGAAGTTGGTTACTGTTCAGACATCAGTTTTCTCCAGCTCAGAGACAGACAGCTCAGTGAGTTCTGCTCCAGAATATTTACTAGGTGCACAGCCACTTAATAAAATTATGCCTAATTATAATCTAATCTAAAAAGTTAATCTCACTAAATGCTAATTTTCATTTTGCCAAAGAAAAGAAATCTCAATCCAAATAGAGTTGCTACTGATGTTTGAGTGACATTTGAGATTCTGTATGGACTCAGTTTAAATTCCAAGACAAATCTCCAATTTTAAAATAGCTTCCAATCCAAAAGTTTTTGAGCTCCCTCTTTTTGCTGGCATAGTCCAAATTTTGTCTCGGGCTTTATTCTATTGAAAACATTAAATTAAAACAAACCTCTAGTTGAAATCCGCATTTGGTAAAATAGTTACTTACCCAAATTAGCAATTGGTTCTAAAAGTGCTGGCAGCCAAGGCAGCGATGTGAGAGCCCTGAGGCACAGAGGAGCCCCCCTGGGACATGAGTGCAGCCCAGCCCCTTCTCTCTGCTCTTGAACTTGGAGCCAAACGTGGTGAAGCCCTGCAAATGTCGGTGTCACACTGGCCCTGCACGGCAATGCAAAGGGTTGTGCACTGGAGATTTCTGACAAACCCCTGTGCAATTTAAACCGTAGTCAAAACCATTACACTCCTGCCAACATAAATATTTCCCAAAGTAGTAATTTTCAATGTAAATGTTTAAGTTATATCTTTATTTTTTTTTTAGTTCTTTCTCTTTTAACTCTACTAGTGTTAATTTCAAAGGACAAGGATTAATATAACCGGAATGAACATAGGTTCTAATGCTGTGTCCTGCTGATGCATGTCAGGTCATTAACCATGCTACATTTTGGACCGTATCACATTCCAAAGTTATAAGAAAAATATTTTGAAATTCTGAAAGAGAAAAGCTTGCTAAATTAATAGGAATTTTGAAGTTTTCACAATGAATTATTTGAACAAAAACTTGAGAGCCCAGTACTTTCAACTTTTAGGGAGTTTTGGCACAAAATGTACAGATAACATGACTTTTCAATCTGTGGTGATTTCAAAGTTGTTTTATTACTAACCACAATTATTATCTTTATTATTATTTATAATTATTTATTTATATATTTGTTATTATTTATTAAGAAAAATTATTATCTTTTAACAGGTTTTGGGCATTGAATGTATTTGTTGAATTAAATAGAAAATATCTTACATACTAAATCCAAATTCATCTTGTTTTTATAAACAAAAGTTTATAAAAAAACATTTAAAAGTCATAAGATTGCAATATCTGACTGCAGTCTTTAAATATATTTTGTAATTTGTTTTTGTATGAATACTTCAGTTTGTGAAACATTCAACAAATACCACTGGTTAAACTCATGTTTTTCAGCCCAGTGAATCAAAAGTGAACATTCCTGTGCTATATGTAGTTACTGAACTTCTTTCTCAGCATTTTTTTTTCAGTGAGATATCTTGGGTGCATTTGATGCAAACATATTTTGTGTTTTCAATGCAGGGATCTGGGTTTCTCTTTTTGAGCTGCTCTGTTTCTACCTCATGCTCTTTTCCTAATCAGATGTGTAAAAACTGGGTAGGTCTTCTTTCCTACCCAAATCACTGTCTCTGGATCATATTTCATCTGTTTAGTAAGAAAAAAACCCAAGCGAACAAAAAAGCAAACATCTCAGAGCTGGAAACACAAGCTCCCTGCAATAACAATAATTTTTAGTTTGTGATGGAAAATAAGTACAATTTCAGGAGGAGCATCAGAACCTCAGGAAACAGATCTGTTTTTATGAGGTTTAATTTAGTCTATATAAAATAGACTCAATTTTTAAAAAACTTTCTTTAGTTTATGGCAAGAATTGCTGCAAAGCAAAATGATTATCAAATAGCACGTGTCAGAAAATTGTAATGCCTTTTTGGATTAAGAACAGCCTGTAAATGATCACAATATGCAGTTTTGGCAGAAGCTGTATGTCACCCGCCTATTAGAAGCTGCAGAATGCTTGTCAGGCTCTGAAGTGCAATTTATTTCAGCAAAAAGTAAGCAAATCTCAGTCATACACTTATTTTTAAAATGTTCTGCAGTGGTGTACCAGGAGAGGAAATGCTTACCAACTTGTAGTGGGAGAGATTTTTGTACAACAAAAACTTTTCACTGTAGTTCTGTGCTTGAAAATGCAGATGCTTTTGAAATTATTTCTTGCTCTTCTACTGGAAATGATGGCCCGGGGGGCTGGGCTTTTTTAGGGACAAGCATGTATTTTCCAGTAAACCCTTTTCAGCTACTGATTTCGTAACTGTCCCTGTAGAAGCAGTTTACTAAAGGAGTCACAGCTGACTTGAAGTTGCTCTGGAGTGCCTGACCCTTTCTGTTGTGTCCTCTAACTCAGATGTTGGAATCAATAACTGCTTTGACAATAACCAGCACTTTACTCTTGCACACTCACTTTTTTACAGCTCACAGGGCATGCAGCAGTGGGGGTACAGCTGCTCTGCCCCTTTCCCAACCCCAGAACATCAGGATTCTGTGGTGTTCTTTGTTACCTCCACCAGTAGTGGTACTGGGATATGCTCCAAACTGATTTCACTGTAATGGTTGCTGATCTTGGAGAAGAAAATTGTGTCAGCTTTTTCACAGCTTTTTATGTTTGTAGATCATGCAGGACATCATGGTTAAACTTCGTTCTCTTTTTATTCTCTTATAATTTCATCCTCAAGGAATAAACATCTGCAGAACTCCCAGCTGGGGCTGGGATCAGGCGCTCTAAAACCATAAAAGTTAAAATTTATTCCTTATTTGCCCCAGTATCATGTCTTATTGCTTGCTAGCCATCAGATTTTCTTTTGGTGGATGATGCAACCGAATTCTACTTCCTCTTGGGATTAGCTACTCAAAGCACAGTTCAAGTATCAAGTCTACCTGGTTTAGGAAATCAAATTATAGATTTGAGAACTTCTGTGGTTCTGTAAGCAATGGAGTTCTTAATCTATTTTAACTCTTTCTATTTTTCTACTTTCTAGGTAATGGGACTCCTGACTAACCACGGTGGTGTGCCTCACCAGCCCCAAACTGATTATGCCCTGTCCCCTCTCACTGGGGGCCTGGAGCCCACCACCACTGTGTCAGCCAGCTGCAGCCAGAGGTTAGAGCACATGAAGAGCTTAGACAGCCTGCCCACATCCCAGTCCTACTGCCCACCAACCTACAGCACCACGGGATACAGCATGGACCCCGTCACGGGCTACCAGTACGGCCAGTACGGCCAAAGTGAGTATGGCACACTGCACTGGGAAGGGCGCTGAGCTGCCCATAGCCTCTGCTGTCCGTCCGTCTGTCTGTGTGTCTGTGAGGAAGGGAGTTCTGAGCAGAGATCCTCAGGGCTCACTGCTACTTCTCCTCAAAGCCAGGCACTGGTGAGATAGCTGATTGTTCAAGCAGGATTTCTGCCGCATAATTATTTTCTTAAGTGATGTCAACAACATCTTGATGTTATTAATTGTTGAGACATGAAACCTGATTGCCATTAGGTAAAACATAAGAGTTGTCCAAAATGAAATAACCGCTGGCATTCCACTATTAGAAACACATGTTCTTAATGAGGTCAGCTCAAGAATCATTACAGTATATAATCCCAGATACATAGAGTTTTGTCAAACTTGTCCTAGGAATAAAAATATTAGTCCCTTGCCTTTGATATATCAGTATTAAATATGACATTGTCAACCTGTAGTTGGCATGGCCCCATGCTGTGAGGTTGTCACAGCATGACTTAAAAAGCTTCTTTTGCTTTTTTGCAGGTGCCTTTCATTATCTGAAGCCAGATATTGCATAAATGAACTGTCCACTTCAAGTTAAAGCTGGTCTTGTTTTCCGGTCCCACTCCAAGGCTTGGATATGAGGGATCTTCTCAACACACTGCAGCCTAAACTGGGGCAGTCCCACTGAGAGAAACAAGCTTGTTATATTCTCTCCAGTCATAGCTTTTAGTAGATTTTTGAAGGCTGGAAAAAGCTATACAGAAGACAAAGGCCAAAAGCAATAATGAATAAATGTGACATGCTTCATTATGAGTGGGTATACAAAACAGAGCAGTATTTAACATCACAGCCTGGCAAACATTCCATTTTTTTGTTGTTGTTGAAATTAATGTGCATTGATTGGGACAAATGGAACATTTTGAAACTAAACTTAGAGCAGTTGAGCTCTGCGTAGTCTGACTCATCTGACATCCAGTGCTGACTTTAGTCTAACTTTAAAACAGCTCAGTTTCTGAAGCAAGGTTGGAAGAGCCTCTCACTGTACACACTGGAAATTGCCATCAAGAGGAAACGCCACAGTCCCTAGGAAGCTGGATAAGTGTGAAAGACTTCCCGAGCAACTCATTGGTTACCTTGCTGTGCTTTATAATCACCTTGTCAATAAATGTCACTCACAGGTTTGGCTTTACCAAGAGAAGAGATCTTGTGTAACATGAAACCCAGATTTTACCTTTTTGTATGTGTTTTCCCAGTGTGTTTTACCTTTTTAAACAAATATGGGAGACAAAAAGCCCCACCAACAACGCGACTGGTTTTTCATAACTGCCTAGCAATGTGCAATACTGTGTACCTCACACAAACTTTGGGATCATCCAAAGTCATAGATATAGAATCAGAACTATATTTTTGCAGGTACTTTTATTTTTGCAGTGCATAATTCCTGATGATAAAATACAGAAATGTTGCAGTCTGCTGGATTACCGAAATCCAGCTTGCTAATCATGACTTAAAGGTCATCTTCAGGAAACAATAGGAAGAAATTATTAAGTTTACATGTTTTTTAGTGCTGTACAGGACATAGACAGAGATGGACCTGTATTTGAGACATCTGTTTAAATTATACAGCAATATCCAATATAGACAGTATAATTATAGGAACCAAGGTTTACAAGAAGTTTGCATCGTGACATTTTAGAATGTCAATAAATTTGTGTTTTGTGATGTTGAGAGGAAGAGGACGATGGAAGGTGGGATTATTTATTTCTCTCTATTCTTGGAACAAAGAGGGAGGCAGAACACAAATACATTCCTTTTAGAGTTAAGGACTATGAAGTAGTGAGTTAGACTAGGTTCAGTACAGAGGTTAGTTCACACAACGGTCTTAAGGGTGATGGAAAAATGAAATATTATCTTTGTGTTGCAGCCTCTACAACAAAATGTGTTGTAAAAAAAAGAAAAACCCAAACAAACAAAAAAATCAAAAAAAGAAAACAAAAAAGAAATGTCTTTCATGTAAAAAGTTCAGTAAATATTTACTATTTATAATGAATAAACATTATGAAGACTTTCAAAGCACTGATGATTTTGTCCTAAAATGTAGTATTGTGATAAATACATTGATACATTTTAATCTGAATATCATGAAGAAATAAACCATGTTATCTTCGACGCAGCCTGTATTCATTATATGAGTGTATTCTGCACACATGCTGGCCTGGGGGGGCATTGAGCAGCCTCTGTGCCCAGGTGCTGCTTGTGTGCCATGTGGAACTCTGTGTGTGGCTGGCTGTGGGTGAGATAAAGAACTTTGCTTTTTCTGAGTGCTGTGGGTACCAGTAGTGCATCTGCCCTACAAGGGAAAAGCCCTTGCCATGCATTCAAAATGAAATAGCATAGGTTTAAACCCAGCACAAGCACGGCAGCTGGGATGGCTTCAGAAAATGTAGGGACTTGGTAATCAGTTATGGGAGGTATCTGTCCTGAATTATATTTATTTTTCCTATATTAATTTTTCCTATTAAGAATTCTTAATAGGCCTACACACAAACTGATTGTAACATGAGGAAGACCCTTCAAAATTAGTGAAGTAAATTTTAGTGCCAAATCTGTGTGCAAGAGAATTTTACTTCACCCTAGGCTGGGTGAACATTTAATTTCCTCACTATTTTGTAGGGGATGTAACCACCTTAATTTCTTTCTGCCTTTTTTTCTGTGTGCATTTTATTCTTATTTTGTTCTTTTAAGTCTAGCCCTTTTCCCTCAGAAAAGGAAGGAATGTATTTCTTGAGCAGAGGACACTAAAAATGGGGAAAAGAGATGTCTTTTTTTTTCCTTTCCAATTTCTGTTTCTCTGATACACTTTTTAACTTCTGAGACAATTGAAATTTAAAACTGTCTTATTAGCACCTATTCCCTGCTCCAAACTGCTTTTTTTTTCTGATTTTTTTCAATGTTGCTTCCCAGGACTTGGCCCTTGGCAGGGGCCTCATGTCCTTGCTGCAAAGGCCATGTAAACTTCTATTTCCCACTTGCAATCCCTTTCCTGTAAACCACTGGATAGAATCCTGCTTGCTTGCACAGTTTGGAACTGGGTGATGAGTGCTCCTTCCCAGGCAGAGTGTACCCTTGTTGCAGGGTGACTGAAAAATGTCACCTTCCTTTTCTGTTCCAGCAGCTGCAGGGCTGGGTGAGCTGTGATTTCTCCCCATCCCCTCAATCCCACTGAAGTGCTTCACTGACCTCACATTAGGGAATTTTGGGCATTTTGACTGCTCCATCCTCTTCTCAAGGGTGCCCCAAGCACTTTCCTGTGTGAGAGCCTAATGCAGAGCAGGAGAGATTGGAAACCAGAGAGATAGGGAGGAAAGGCCCTGTCCCTGCCCATGGGGGGTGGTTGGAACTGGATGATCTTTAGGGTCCCTTCCAACCTCAAACACTCTATGATTCTTTGAAAATCATCCATTCTTCTCACAGCCAAGCCACGCAGTGGAGAACTGGGAGGAGCTCTGTCATGGGAAGGGAGGAACCTGGGCAGAGCAGTATCTTGATTTATTATGTGCTGCAGAAGTCTTTGACAGAGCTATAAGGATAACTTGGGAGCTGTTGATCCCTTCTTGTTATCACTGTCAAGACTGAGGAGGTTCTTGGGAACCACATGTGCTTCTGGGATATGAATCCTGAATGCTCAGAAAATCAAAGGGGAATGAGCCTGCCATGGATATGACAGAATAGCCATGCAAAAGTTGGGAGGAATGTGCTCACAGCAATGGAGTCCAAGTCCCACTCACTTATGAGTGCAGAAAGGGCAGGTCTCAGGGTCCCTCCTCTTATTTTTCTGCGTGTGAGTGTGCATATATTACAAGATGGAAATAAATCACCACAGCTGCTTAACCAACTGTCTGTCATCTCATTAGAATGGGAAGCTTTTGAGAGACAGGTTTTCATAAAAATTTTTTTCTTTGTGTCACAATCATGATTTTAAATGTATTATTAAGTCTTCCTTTATCTAGAAATTACTTCTATGCCCATCACAATACCCAGTATATGCACTTTACCATACTTTAGTATCTATTGCTATTCCTTTATGCAGGCATTAATGAATGAGCTAGGAAAAGAATAATTTTTAATGACATCTATTATCCTTTTCCCTAGATATTTCAATGTTTCTTGTTTAAATAAAAGCTAGAAATAAACATTTTTCCCCAATAATCTCACAGAGTTTTCTACTCAGTGTTGCTCAAAAGTCTCTATCCAAATAACAAATGCTGTTGAAGTGTATCTTTCTGGGCTATTTTGAAAGGCACAAAATGCCTATCCCAATCTACAAATCTTCACTGAAAGTAGCTGATTGTCAAACAGGTTCTGTGTCCTCAGAAATCTGTTTCTGCACCTATATGCAGAAGGGTTAGGTTTTTAATCCTTAACCCTAGGTTAAGGTCTGTGCAAATTCAAACACAAAATATCTGGCTACAAGACTGTAACCTGTATCTCCAAATGCAATGAAAAAATATAAAGCTGCTTAACTTTGCAATTCCAAACCCCAACCCAAATTATCACATGCTACTAATATTTTTTGGTAGCAATGATGTCTGCATTTTCTCAGAAGTATGGCAGACAGCACCATGTAAACTATTTGTTATGTCTCAATTCTGGGCTTTATCCTCGCACATTTAAGAAATGCATTATCTCTGGTTACTGCTGATGTGTAAAGCATACATTTTTGCTGTTTTAGTAACCATGAACATTCTCAACATTTGCTATCCATAAAGTCTTCTGGTCTAAAGTCTATAAAGTGGATTACTAGAAGATACCTTTTTATGAAATAAGAAGAAATTAAGGCAATATCAATGTGACCATCAGAAACCTGAACAGCTTGAATTTATAAACTTTTTTGTATTGCTCACTTCAATGTTCTGCTTAATTGCAAGGAAACCTGAATCCCATTTTAAATTTATTTTCGCTTTTCCAATAACATCTAGATATTCCCTGGTGCAGCTGGAGAGTCCTAGGGTTATTTAAAGAAGCACATGAGTTGATTTGAATCTGCTCAAGATATTTGTCTATAGTAAAATAATAAAATTTGCAGTCTGCTTCTGTGGTCATTGCAGGTGAGACACATTGCATTTGATGTGTCAGATTTTCACTCCCAGCACTTCTGGACAGCTCATCACAGGCTGGGAAGTTCTCATCAGTCTTGGGGAGCAAAATGCTACAGCTAGAGGAGATTAGTCAGGTTCAAAACATGACAGGTATTTACCATACAAACAGGCTTCAAAATCAGGATGTGCACACAGTGCTAGTGCTTGGCTCTGTTTTGCCATCGTGGTTCCCACAAAAATACTTTGCAGTGTTCACACAGAGTTTAAATCTTTGCTTAGTGCATTTACATGGCCTCAGAACCAGTGACTGATTAACCCGGGGTGGCTGTGGACAGCTTGGGCACTGCAGCATTTTGACATGCACTGTTTATTATTCAGCTACTCAGGCAATGTCATGAAAAATCATAATAAAACTAGGAAGACACATCACATTTGACCTTTGCTGAATAATTTAATAAAGCCAGCTTGATACACAAATATGAAAGAGCAGTTGCTGGTCAGAGCGGAACTATTGCTTCCTTGTCTGAGAATTGGAAACAGTTCAGAAGCTTTATTAACCATTCAGTGTCTTCATCCTCAGCAAAGTTTATCCCTTAGGCCATAACCAAATGTTAAGCTACTTGTTTCTCCCCACACTCCCCTCCTTTCAGTGCTCACACGGGTATCTTTGCTTATGCTGTACACAATTATGGTCTCAGTTCTTCTCATGGCTCTGAACAATTATCCAATTTTTTTCCTCACAGACTCAGTTTTATTTATACAAACATTTTTCTCCCCATATATATGCATTTATTCATAATGATCTCAAATGTACATACCTTTAAAATTTTAGCTTTAAAAGGGTGATGGTTACAGGTACTCTGCACACTCAAACAATGATGTTTTATAATTCAGAAATTCAGAGATGGAAGAAATGTCTTCAGAGCCACTCTCATGTGAGTGTCCAGATGGAAGAAATGTCTTCAGAGCCACTCTCATGTGAGTGTCCCAATGGTCACTACCAGAATAATTAACTAGGGGTACAAATTTCCTGAGTGCTTTGAAATGCTCTTTTGGCTGCACTTATCCTGGGGAAGGGTCTGTCAGGGCTGGGGATGGTGTGGCTTGCAGGGACCACCTGGTTCTGCACTACATGACCCATAGAGCATCACTGGGGTCTTGTCCCTCTGTGGGGTTCATGATGCAGTGTTTGACTGAACCCTTTTTCCATGTTCCCATCTGAGGTCTCCAGGTGATGGAAGACACACGTTACCCTCAATATCATGGTTTCTCCTCATGGCATCCCTTTCCCTTGTGGTTCTCCAACAAACTTGAGTCCTGCTACTATGCAGGTGTCCAACAGTCACATCTTCTATCCCAGTGCCTGCATCAGTTCAATAGAATTTCTCTCTCCCTTGCTCTTCCCAAAGACTCTGACCAGCTGCACCAGCTCCAACTGCAGCACTCCCAAAAAGTCACATCACTGTTTCACCTGGCACTGAAACCTGAGGGAAATATTTGCACAGTCATGGCTGCCTGATTGAAAAGGTGATAATGAATGTGTGTGAAAAGGCAAGGTGGAGCTCAGCTTTTCCTTTAGAGCCCAGAAGGGTTTCTGAGTGCAGTGCAGGGCAGTGTAGCCATGCCAGGCATGGGCTGGGCATGGTGGGGGGTCAAGGGGAGCAGCCAAAACGTGGCCCTCACTGTGGAAACCCAGGGCACTGGGATATTTCTCTGTCTGCTCTGGGGTGCCCTGACCCCCAGGGTAGCACTGACTTTGACCTTCATTCATGGAGAAAGTCTCCCAGACTAGAATCCACAAAAGTGGGAAATAGATTATAGAGAGTACTGCAGGTGTATCACTTGGTGAGAAATTTAGATTTTGGGATTTTTAGTATGTTGTGGATGGAAGCAGGATGGAGGGCACAGGGTGTTGTCCTGGGTTTCTTCTTCACGCTTCTTCTTCCTTCTTCTCCATGGGTTTGGGAGGCATTTTGTAATTGAGCAGAAAAGTCCTCATTGCAGGCTCTGTGGGATCAGTTATTGGTTTAAAAGGGAAAATAATCCAGGTGTCA